ATTACTGATTCCAACCCAACTACTGATGAATTTAGGACACATTTGCAATACCATTTGAATGTCAACATATATTATCATGCTAAAACAAAACCCCTTAACGCACTAATAGATCTCTGTACAAATTGCCCATCACTTAGCATCAGAATATAAAATTTACAATTTCAAATTCAACTCTGATTCAGCACACTCAAACCAAACCTGGATATCTTAGATATTTCTGAACAATTCTATTAAACTAGCTAACTAATAAACGAACCGCAAATGATTGCTATTGAAATGGAACACTGATCATGGAAGGAATCAGGCCCCATTTTCAAGCAACCAGAAACTTTGCCAACGCCAATGAAACAGTGCTGAAGAGAGGGCCTCACACTATTTCACTATCTTGGTGACTTGTTAATTTATGACTCATTACTTGAACCATAACCCTTTAAGACACTAACATCACATATGAATTTCACGAACAAAACAACACATCAGGAATCAAACGCAACAGCAATCAAAACTACTTCCAAACTTGCTATTTATCGTTGAGACTAAATGACCTAACTCCAAATACAGACCCAGCTTCTCAATACACTAGGAACAACTCATTTGACACTAATAAAGACTGAAATAAAATGAATGGAAGTCAGCAAATATAGAAAACAAACAGTCCAACTACATTTTTACATGGATCTCATTGTGTATCACATAGCCAGAAATTAAATCAACAAGTCACATGGGAAAAGGGAACAAAGGAAGTCACATATAACAAAACAGTGATCTTCATTAACTCCTCAAGTTATCACTGGAATCAGCCTCTACATTTCAAGGTCAAGGTATGTACCTGGGGTTCAAAATAAAAACCAAAATATGGAGTGAGTGAATGGCCAGAAGCAGCAACAAGAAAAAGCTGCAACAAAGCCCCAGATCAATGATAAAACCAGCAGCCAAATTCCAAATCCGATAGAACAGTGAATTTCAGCTCAAAATCAGCAAACGAGGCAAATCAAACAATTAAATCCCAACTTTAAACCTTTAATTGATTCAGCAAGGGTCAGACCCAACATCGCTAATTCATTCTTACACCTTTTCAAGCTTAAACAAGGAGAAAACCAGACTTAATTAGAAGAGAAAATTCTCGAAAACTAAGGCTGAATTTCAAAAGCAGGAGCAACCCTTTTTGTATTTTTCTTATCTGATTTTAGAGTGTGTAAGGCTGCCTTTCAAGGCAAGGAAACATGCCTTTATAGGCAAGGCAAGTAGGGCAGATTTCAGTTTCCATTTTTACACCCTACCCCCTTCTTAGTTTTTATTTTAGCTTAGGGACCCTGATTTTCTAACTTGTTCTCCAAGTTACTACACCTATTTGTTGAATTTCAGATTAAATCCCCATCTAGAAGGTCCTAGGGAGTTCCATTTTCAGTTACTAAAAGATTCCCTATGTAAACTACCCATACTACCCTTTATTTGGCTCTAAATCACCAACCCCCAACCTTGCTACCCTGGTTAAAAATTAACCACAATTAAAGGAAGAACCTAAAATCGAACTAGTGGTCTAATTAAGCTATTTCAAGTATCAGAAGTAATCAACTGGAATTGACTCTAATGCTAATCAAACCAAAATTAAAACCAGGATTGATAAAATACAAATTCATGCTATTTATTAATTAAACAGAAAATTATGAATCATGAACCAAAATTAAAGAACAGAATCAAAAGAGAAAATAAATAAATATGAATCAAGATAAAATCGATCGAACAAAACCTAAAACGAAAAAAAAAAGATTGAACCTGGAGTGGAACTAATTTTAATTAAAAGGAAATTCATTACAGAAAGAAGAACAAGTAGAGGAGGAAAGGGAGATTAAGGAACTTACTGACTTGGGCCTTAAATCGACTGATCTCAAATTGATTCCCAGCTAATGTTATGTGTCTATTTTGCCAAAAATAAACACATAACATTAATTGAGAATCACTCAACACTTGAAAATCCAGAAAATCGAAATTCTTCGAACCCTAGATCTAAAATTAGGGGAGTTCCGCTTGGATTCGAAGGGTTTTGGTTTGAGATTTGGGATGAGGATGTTAAAGAGGCCATAGGGTATTGTTTTGAGGTTGTTTGGAGGTGGCGCCTAGGGTTTGGGTTATTTGAAGAGATGGGTTGGGATTTGAGAGACGGGGTTTGGGGGTTTGGAAAGAGGAGATTGAGGGGAGTTTATGGTGTAAATTTGAGAGAGATTGGAGAATTCGCCGCCGGCGGAGGCGATTTCCGGCCGGCGGCGGACGGCGGAGAAGCAGGGGGTCTTTAAAGGGTTAGGGGGCGTGCGAGGGAGACGGCTTGGGGAGGGGGGGGGTAGGTGAGGTTAGGACAATTATACATCAACCCTACCCATACTTCCCAACTGTTGGATCAAGCAAACCTAGACGGCCAGGATTGCTTTGATCCAAACGGCGTCGTTTTGAATGGTGGGGGCTGGACCGGGTCTGGGGGGTGTTGGGCTTGGATGCGGACGGGTATGGGAGACAAATTTGGGCTTGAAGGGGGTGGGGTTTAAGGGAAAACGTTTGGGCTGTTGTATTGAATTAAAAAATTGGCCCACAATTCCCCTTCTTTAAATTGTAAACCAAAAATCCTTTCTTCTTTTCTTTTTCTTCTTTTTCTCATTTTTTTTAGATTTTTGTTAACTACAAAATTAAAAATAAAAAGACCTGATTTAATTCCAAAACTAAACTAATTAATTTTCAAAAATTAACTGACTCCTAATTTAAAAGAAAACTAGGAAAAAATTCGAAAGTTAAAAGGTGAAATGCAAAAAGAGCTATTTTTGTTATTTTCTTTCATTAATTAAATAATTATCCTAAAAAGTAGAAAATTAGGGCCCAAATGCAAATGCACTATTTTTTTTATTTTTTATGAATTATATCAATTAAACATGCACAAAAAAATGCAAACAAATACAAAAATATCACAAAAATCCACAAAATTGCAAATACTGAAAAAATTATTTTGTTTTGAATTTATGGGAGTAATTCATATAGGGAAAAAATCACGTGCTCACAGCTGCCCCTCTTTGCTCGGAAACACGAAGAGTTTTCGTGCAAAGATAAGTGAGAAAATACAAGCGATTTTTGCCCGTTTGAATACTCCGTGGGAAGCATTTTTGAAAGGTTTGACCGCACCCTGCTTCTGAGGTTGCCTACATATCCTTGGCTAAAAAGGAATCAGGTCAGTGTAGTTCGGGAAGGTCTGGTAGCTGGGACTACCATGAAGCTGTGGTTTCACTGTTGCTGCTGCTACTGCTGCTACTGCTTACTGAACCCCCTTATTACACCGTGTCAAAATAAAAAGAAGCTAGACCAAGCTATGATTTATGAATTACAAAAGTCCTATCTATGTCTTCAAACATGCTCATGTAGTTCTTGTTGCCTTGTTAACTTGCATTCTCCCGATGGAATTCTTTTGTTGTTGCCTTGGACTGTGATCTGAGATGCTTCGCCAATTATCCGAGTGATGCTTGACTGCTAAGACTTGAAGCATATGCCTCTATTCTCCAGGCGGGATCCTGATTGCTAAAACTTGAAATATATGCCTCTGTTCTCCAGGCGGGCTCCTGATTGCTAAAACTTGAAATAAATGCCTCTGTTCTCCAGGCGGGCTCCTGATTGCTAAAACTTGAAATAAATGCCTCTGTTCTCCAGGCGGGCTCCTGATTGCTAAAACTTGAAATAAATGCCTCTGTTCTCCAGGCTGGCTCCTAATTGCTAAAACTTGAAATAAATGCCTCTGTTCTCCAGGCGGGCTCCTGACTGCTAAAACATGAAATAAATGCCTCTGTTTTCCAGGCGGGGACCTGATTGCTAAACCATGAAATAAATGCCTCTGTTCTCCAGGCGGGCTCCTGACTGCTAAAACTTGAAATAAATGCCTCTGTTCTCCAGGCGGGCTCTCCAGGCGGGCTCCTGATT